CTGAAGGCCTAGGTAGAAACCTGAGTAATTTTCTAAAGGCCTTGGTAGAAACCTGAGTAATTTTCTGAAGTCCTAGGTAGAAACCTGAGTAATATTCTGAAGTCCTAGTAGAAACCTGAGTAAATTTCTGAATGCCTAGGTAGAAACCTGAGTTATTTTCTGAAGGCCTAGGTAGAAACCTGAGTAATTTTCTGAAGGCCTATGTAGAAACCTGAGTAATTTTCTGAAGGCCTATGTAGAAACCTGAGTAATTTTCTGAAGGCCTAGGTAGAAACCTGAGTAATTTTCTGAAGGCCTAGGTAGAAACCTGAGTAATTTTCTGAAAGCCTATGTAGAAACCTGAGTAATTTTCTGAAGTCCTAGGTAGAAACCTGAGTAATTTTCTGAAGGCCTAGGTAGAGAACCTGAGTAATTTTTCTGAAGGCCTAGGTAGAAACCTGAGTAATTTTTGAAGGCCTAGGTAGAAACCTGAGTAATTTTCTGAAGGCCTATGTAGAAACTGAGTAATTTTTTGAAGGCCTAGTAGAAACCTGGTAATTTTCTGAAGGCCTAGGTAGAAACCTGAGTAATTTTCTGAAGGCCTAGGTAGAAACCTGAGTAATTTTCTGAATGCCTAGGTAGAAACCTGAGTAATTTTCTGAAGCTCTAGTAGAAACCTGAGTAATTTTCTGAAGCCTAGTAGAAACCTGAGTAATTTTCTGAAGGCCTAGGTAGAAACCTGAGTAATTTTCTGAGGCTAGGTAGAAACCTGAGTAATTTTCTGAAAGCCATAGTAGAAACCGAGTAATTTTCTGAAGCCTAGGTAGAAACCTGAGTAATTTTCTGAAGGCCTAGGTAGAAACCTTGAGTAATTTTTCTGAAAGCTATTTGAAAGGTATAAACCTGAGTAATTTTCTGAAGTCCTAGGTAGAAACCTGAGTAATTTTCTGAATGCCTAGGTAGAAACCTGAGTAATTTTCTGAAGTCCTAGGTAGAAACCTGAGTAATTTTCTGAAGGCCTAGGTAGAAACCTGAGTAATTTTCTGAAGGCCTAGGTAGAAACTGAGTAATTTTCTGAATGCCTAGTAGAAACCTGAGTAATTTTCTGAAGCCTAGGTAGAAACCTGAGTAATTTTCTGAAGGCCTAGGTAGAAACCTGAGTAATTTTCTGAAGGCCTAGGTAGAAACCTGAGTAATTTTCTGAAGGCCTAGGTAGAATCTTGAGTAATTTTCTGAATGCCTACGTAGAAACCTGAGTAATTTTCTGAAAGCCTAGTAGAAACCATGAGTAATTTTCTGAAGGCCTAGGTAGAAACCTGAGTAATTTTCTGAAGCCTATGTAGAAACCTGAGTAATTTTCTGAAGCCTAGGTAGAAACCTGAGTAATTTTCTGAAGGCCTATGTAGAAACCTGAGTAATTTTCTGAAGGCCTAGGTAGAAACCTGAGTAATTTTCTGAATGCCTAGGTAGAAACCTGAGTAATTTTCTGAAGGCCTAGGTAGAAACTGAGTAATTGTTCTGAATGCCTAGGTAGAAACCTGAGTAATTTTCTGAAAGCCTAGTAGAAACCTGAGTAAATTTCTGAAGCCTAGTAGAAACCTGAGTAATTTTCTGAAGGCCTAGGTAGAAACCTGAGTAATTTTCTGAAGGCCTGTAGAAACCTGAGTAATTTTCTGAAGGCCTAGGTAGAAACCTGAGTAATTTTCTGAAGGCCTAGGTAGAAACCTGAGTAATTTTCTGAAGGCCTTGGTAGAAACCTGAGTAATTTTCTGAAGGCCTAGGTAGAAACCTGAGTAAATTTCTGAAGCCTAGTAGAAACCTGAGTAATTTTCTGAAGGCCTAGGTAGAAACCTGAGTAATTTTCTGAAGGCCTTGGTAGAACCTGAGTAATTTTCTGAAGGCCTAGGTATAACTGAGTATTTTGAAGGCCTAGATAGAAACTGAGTAATTTTCTGAGGCCTTATTAGAAACCTGATTTTAATTTTTCTGAAGGCCTAGGTAGAAAACTGATGTAATTTTCTGAATTGCCAATATGTTCAACCGAGTAATATTTCTGAAGCCTAGTAGAAACCTGAGTAATATTCATGAACGCCTATTTGGTAGAAACCTGAGTAATGTTCCTGAAGCCTAGGTAGAAACCTGAGTAATATTCTGACAGTCCTAAGGTAGAACAACGAGTAATTTTCTGAAAGGCCTAGTAATTGAAACCTGAGTAGTATTTCTGAAGGACTATGCCGTAAGAAACTGATACATTTCTGGTAGGCTAGATGTAGAAATGAGTAATTGGGGATCTGAAGGCTAGAATACAACATGAGTAATTTTCTGAGCCTCTTAGGTAGAACCTGAGTAACTTTTTGAAGGCCTATGGTAGAAACCGAGTCATATTTTCTGAAGTCCAGTAGGAACTATGTTAATATTTCCTGAACTCCTAAGTAGAAACTCTTGAGTAATTCTGAAAGGCTAGTGGAAGGACCTGAGTAATTTTTGAGGCCCTAGGTAAACCTTGTAATTTATTCTTTAAGGCAGAGATAAGAAAACTCTGAGTAATTTTTCTGAACCTAGTATGAAACCTGCGTAATTATTCTTAAGGCTAGGTAAAACCTGATTAAATTTTCTGAAGAAGTTAAACCTGATTAATTTTCTGAAGGACCTAGGTAGAACCTGAGTAATTTTCTGAAAGCTGGAGAAACCTGAGTAATTTTCTGAAGGCCAAGTAGAAACCTGAGTAATTTCTGAGGCCTTAGGTAGAAAACCTGAGTAATTTTCTGAAGGCCTAGGTAGAAACTGAGTAATTTCTGAAGGCCTAGGTAGAACCTGAGTAATTTTCGAAGGCATTGGTAGAAACCTGAGTAATTTTCTGAAGGCCTAGTAGAAAACCTCTGATAATTTTCTGAAGGCCTAGGTAGAAACCTGAGTAATTTTCTGAAGTCTAGGTAGAAACCTGAGTAATTTTCTGAAGGCCTATAGTAAACCTGAGTAATTTTCTGAAGTCCTAGGTAGAAACCTGAGTTTAATTTTCTGAAGCCTAGGTAGAAACCTTTAGTAATTTTTGAAGGCCTAGGTAGAAAACCTGAGTAATTTTTGAAGGCCTAGTAGAAACCTGAGTAATTTTCGGAAGGCTTGGTAGAAACCTGAGTAATTTTCTGAAGGCCTAGGTAGAAACCTGAGTAATTTTTTGAAGGCCTAGGTAGAAACCTGAGTAATTTTCTGAAGGCCTAGGTAGAAACCTGAGTATTTTCTGAAGGCCTATAGTAGAAACCTGAGTAATTTTCTGAAGTCCTAGGTAGAAAAACCCGAGTAATTTTTCTGAAGGCCCAGGTAGAAACCTAAGTAATTTTCTGAAGGCCTAGGTAGAAACCTGGGTAATTTTCTGAGTCCTAGGTAGAAAAACCCGAGTAAATTTTTTGAAGGCTAGGTAGAAACCGAGTAATTTTCTGAAAGCCTATGTGAAACCTGAGTAATTTTCTGAAGGTCTAGGTAGAACCTGAGTAATTTTCTGAAGGCCCTAGGTGGGAAAACCCGAGTAATTTTCTGAAGGCCTAGGTAGAAACGTGAGTAATTTTCTGAAGGCTAGGTAGAAAAATGAGTAATTTTTTGAAGGCCTAGGTAGAAACTGAGAATTTTTGAAGCCTAGATAGAAACCTGATAATTTCTGAAGGCTCTAGGTAGAAACCTTTGTAATTTTGAAGGCTTGTGGGGGAATGAATTTTTAATAGGGAAAAACCAAATAATTTTTGAAAGGGTTATTACTAATTTTGAACTTTAGAAACGAAGTAATTTTCAAATAGGTGAGTAATTTTAATCATAAAATGAGTAATTTCTGAAATTGGTAAAACAGTAACTTCAGGCCCCGACTGCGTGTAACCTTATTTGAGTCTAGTATTTAGATTCAATCGGGTTTATAATTAAATTGTATTTCGATAAGCTACAATTGACCCGAAGTTAATTCTGAAATTTTTATGACACCAAATTTTGAAAGGGCCCGGAAGAAATTAATGTTAAACTACTATATAAGTGGGTTAAGTTTAAATAATTTGGAACCTTAGATGAACTGATATTTTTGAAAGAACCCAGAATTTTATGAACCTTTGATGGTAATTTTTGAAGACTGGAAAAGGAGTAATTTCTGGCCGGTAGAAACTGAAATTTTCGACAGGGACCTGGTAGAATATAGTATTCGAGGAGGTGAAACCTAGTAATTTTTGAAACCAGTAAACAGTATTTAGGTAGGTAAACGAAAATTTTAAGGCCTAGGAAATTATATTTTCTTTGGCTATAAGATATTTGAATTAGGGAAACAGTAATTTTCAGGTCTGAGTTTTAAAATTGAGTATTTTTTAGGCAAATAGTATTAAATTGAAACGGCCTGTACAAATTTTTGAAGGCCTAGGTAAAACCTGAGTTTTAAGCTAAGGGAAAAATGAAATTCTGAAGGTTGAGGCTAAAACCCGGTAGTAAACTGTTTTTGAACCTAGTGAAATAGAATTTCTGAAGGCCTAGGTATTATTCTAGTAGTGAGGAAAGACACTAGGACATGGTTCTTGGAAACGTTATTATTGTAGCACCTTTGGACACTTCGAATGTAACATTCTGAATTTTAACCTGAGTTAATATCCTGAACAAATAACTGTGTAATATTTTTCACTTTTAACTTCAGCAATATTTTGTTCTAGTCACGTAATATTCTTACACTTGTAATATGAGTAATAGTCTGCATTTGTAACCCAAGCAGTATTCTGGACTTGTAACCTGAGTAATGTCCTGAACTAGTAACCTGTGTAATATTCTGCACATGTAAACTATGTAATATTCAGAACTACTAACCACCTAATATTCTGTATAAGTAACATGAGTAATATTCTGCAATAATGAAGTAGTATTCTGAACTGTTAATCTATGCCCGAAGATTATACATGAACCAGGGTACCTGGGTATGGCAGACTGTAGAGTGAGTGAAGGAGGTCAATCAAAATAATAGGAGAAGAATACAAGCAAGGACAGAGAGGGTGGGGGGTACTCACCTCTTAGGTCAGTGGAGCACTTTTGTCCCTTGTAATACCACTCATTGCAACTGCGGAAGATAAAGGAACATTATTTTACTGGAGGTTTCACCATTGATGACATCACTAATATATTATTAACATCATTATCAACAACATCAATAATAGCGGAAAAGTAGTGTGAAGGACCTGGGAGTGGTAATGTTAGAGGATCTCACCTTCAGGGATCACAACATTGTCACTATCACATCTGCGAAGAAAATGATAGGAGAGATAATGATAAACTTTAAAACAAGGGATGCCAAGTCAATGATGACCCTTTTTAAATCACTTGTTTCTCTAGGTTGGAATACTGCTGTACATTATCTCCATTCAAGGGAGGTAAAATCGCAGATCTACGGAATGTACAGAGAACTTTTACTGCACATATAAGTTCCGTCTAAACACCTTAACTACTGGGAATGCTTGGAAGCACTTAACTTGTACTCACTGGAGCACAGGCGAGAGAGATACATCATAATCCACAGCTAGAAAATCCTAAAGGGACTGGTCCCAAACATGCACACATAATCACTCCCTGCGAAAGCAAAAGACTGGGCAGATAATGCAATATACCCCTAATGAAAATAGGGGGGGGTGCCATTAGTACACCATGAGAAAACACAATAAGTGTCCGGGGCCCAAGACTGTTCAACAGCCTCCCACCAGGCATAAGGGGAATTACCAACAGACTCCTGGCTGCCTTCAAGAGGGAGCCGGACAGATACCTAAAGTCAGTACGTGACCGGCCCACAAGGAAGGTTCCTTGACGCTGGTGAGGGGGTCTTGATCTAGGGAATTGGATCTGTGCTCCAGTTCCTTGAAGCCTGAATACCTTCCACATCCTCCCAAAGGCGCTGCATAATTCTACGGGTTTAGTTTTCCCCCTTGATTATAATAATAATAATAATCTGGAGTCCTGCAGCAAATGGTTAGTAGACAACAAACTATCATTACACCTCGGAAAAACTGAAGCCATTTTCTTTGGCACGAAACATAAACTGAGAAGGGTAAATAATTTTCATGTCCAGTGTATTGGGGAGCCCATCACTTCAGTTTCCTCAGTAAAATATCTGGGAATCCCCTTTGACCCATGCATGTCAGGAGAATTGATAGGGAACAGTGTAGTAAAGAAAGCGAATGCCAGACTGAAATTCCTCTACAGACAAGCACAGTGTCTACCTATTGAGGCTTGCAGGACCCTATGTCTAGCCCTTATACAATGTCATATGGATTACGCTTGCTCTTCATGGTACTCTGCCTTGACAAAAAAAAACTGATAGACTGCAAATCACCCAGAACAAAATAGTGAGATTCATCCTGGACCTGGGACCAAGAGAGCATGTAGGCCAAGATGAATTACAGCAGTTGGATATGCTGAATGTTGAAAACAGAGTAAAACAACTGAAGCTAAATCATGTTTATAAAATTGCTCACAAACAATGTCCAGAATATCTTGCTGTCAATTTTGTCAAGATTGGGAACCAAAGCAATCATAGTACTAGGGGGAGAGAGCACAACTTTGTAGTACCCACAGTCAGCAGCCAGGCGTCAAACACCTTTTATTGTGGAAATATAAACACATATGCAGTATAATGTGATCCTTTATTGACTACGTTTCGCCCACACAGTGGGCTTTTTCAAGTCACAAACAGAACTCAGTTCTGTTTGTGACTTGAAAAAGCCCACTGTGTGGGCGAAACGTAGTCAATAAAGGAGCACATTATACTGCATATGTGTTTATATTTCCATTGTGTCGGTATTTTATACCATTTATTTCCACCTTTTATTGTACAGCAATAAAGGAATGGAACAGACTGCCTCCACATGTCAAAGCCAGTCACAGCATGAACCAGTTCAAGAAGAGTGCCAAAAGGTGTCTGATGAATGTAGCTACAGAAAGGGAGGGGAATGATTTTTTTATTTTTTAGCTAATATGCGTTTAATTTTACCTTATTTCTAGTAATGACCCTCGTATTGTAGATAGTCTTAATGACTCGTGTAGTAGATAGTCTTAATAGTATGATAATAAGATGTTATCTCCTTTATAGAATAGTAATAAGATAGTATCACCTTTATATTATAATAATAAGGTAAAAGGACCCCAATGGAAATAAATCACTCTGTCTGACTTTTTTGGGTTATCCTAGGAGGCCCGGTGGCCTGGTGGCTAAAACTCCCGCTTCACACACGGAGGGCCCGGGTTCAATTCCCGGCGGGTGGAAACATTCCGACACGTTTCCTTACACCTGTCCTGTTCACCTAGCAGCAAATAGGTACCTGGGTGTTAGTCGACTGGTGTGGGTCGCATCCTGGGGGACAAGATTGAGGATCACAATGGAAATAAGTTAGACAGTTCTCACTGACTTTCTCGGGTTATCCTGGGTGGCTAACCCTCCGGGGTTAAAAATCCGAACGAAATCTTATCTTGCTGCTATGTATGATATTCTGTGTAACCGTATTTGTGTATACCTGAATAAACTTACTTAGTACGTGACCAACCGGGCTGTAGTTCATACGTTGGACTGCGTGCGGTCAGCAATAACAGCCTGATTGATCAGGCCTTGATCCACCGGGAGGCCTGGTCAAGGACTGGACCGCGGGGGCGTTGACCCCGGAACACCCTCCAGGTAGACTCCAGGTAACCCCCCCTCCCCAACCTTCAACAATATTCTCTGAATGATTCCTGTTAATTTGAAAGTCTCAGTTAGTGCTATTTCTGTGATAGTTAATCCTTGCTCATCTCTTTCTCTGTCTACGAGTGTAGGGTGTTCCCTCTACTTTGTGCATGTTGTCTTGCTAACGATATAGTCAGGTGGATAAGAGAGAAAGAGAGAATGGTGGTAGACAGATCTCCATATCGTGGCTTCACTCGTCAGCGCAGCACTGCCAATGAACTAGTTGAGATAACATCTCAGCATACAACTGCCACAAGCACCATCACCTCCAAGATCATCAAACCACCACCACTACCATCACCTACATCACTATAATCGCCTCCACCACTATTACCATCACCTACACCTAGGACTGGGTGCTCGTAAGGTACTCCTACAAAATCAGTGATGATGAATATGAATTAATAGCTAGGAATAACTTTAAATTTATCTGTAATGCATGCTTAGAACAACGTGAGGCGACAGAGCCAGTATTGTTACCTCAAATAACACCAGACACATGTTTACACTGTACTAAGGCACGGAGGAAAAACAGTGAACACATCGTATGTGAATTGTGTAAGGATGTTATGTCTGGTTATGTTAATGGTGCTAAATATCAGTTTGTTTGTAACAAATGCACTTTAGCTCAGTTACCCTTCAGTAATGCCGACAGTGATTTACCTATTTTTTTTACTACAAATGAACCCTTGCCATATATTGATGATTATTAGAACTGATCGCTAGCGCACTCAGGTCACACTGAGGTCCGGGGTTCGAATCTCCTCCGGTACGGCTGGAAAACATTAGGGACGTGTTTCCATAAGGCACCTGCTGTCCCTGTCTCTCTTCACTCATCAGTTTAAAAACTGGGTACCTGGGTGTTAGTCGACTGGTGTGGGTCGCATCCTGGGACAAAACTGACTTAATTTGCCCGAAATGCTCAGCATAACAAGCAGCTTTCTATATAGTAGCATGTTATTGATGTCAGTTAGGCCTGTATACCTTGTACATGTACTTGTAGTAAATAAAGATATTATTATTATTATTATTATTATTATTATTATTATTATTATTATTATTATTATTATTATTATTATTATTAATTGTTAAAGCAGACCTTCACTTTATTCATGTTAACGCTAGGTCACTTTTACCCAAAATATCAGGGATCAGGATTCTAGCAAACAAGAGTAGGGTGGCAGTTATAACCATCTCTGAAACTTGGTTAAATGACACGGTGACTGACGAAGTCAAAATAGAAGGCTACAACACAAAGCGCTTTGATAGGAATAGACAAAGTGGTGGGGTATGTGCCTATGTAAAAAATGACTTAGCTTACAATCCAAGACCCGATTTTAATGACAAACTGGAGATTCTATGGTTTGAGGTGCTGCTGCCCAAGACCAAATCCATCCTAGTAGGAATTAGTTACTGCCCCCAACCCCCCGTGATCAGTTCTTGGAAGACTTTTCGAGATTCTTTTCCAAATTGAGCACAACTGTGAGATAGTAATACTGGAGATTTTAACATCTGTTAACAACAACAAAAATGGGCCATATACATATACAAGTCAATTCTGGGATTAAATGGTTACACTCAACTAATTAATGCACCAACCCGGATTATTCACTTCTCAACCACCATACTCGACCATATATATACTTTGTAACCATTCTGATAACATTAGTCAGTCAGGTGTCATTACCACAGGTCTTAGTGATCATTTCATCATTTATTCACCAGGAAAATCACTAGGGATAGGATAGGCCTACACAAGACAATAAAAATGAGGTCAACTAGAAACTATAGTAAAGAAACACTGGTAAATAGGCTACACAATTTTGATTGGACAGCTATAACAAAGTGCAAGAACGTGGATGAGTGGAACAAACTCCCAAGTACCGTTATAGAGGCCAGAACGTTGTGTAGCTTTAAAAATAGGTTGGATAAATACATGAGTAGATGTGGGTGGGTGTGAGTTAGACCAGATAGCTTGTGCTACCAGGTCGGTTGCCGTGTTCCTCCCTTAAGTCAATGTGACCTGACCTGACTAGGTTGGGTGCATTGGCTTAAGCCGGTAGGAGACTTGGACCTGCCTCGCATGGGCCAGTAGGCCTTCTGCAGTGTTCCTTCGTTCTTATGTTCTTATGTTCTTAAATAATGCCTGGGAAAAATTCAAAACCTTGCTCATTGTAATCCTTGATAATATTGCACCAGTTAAAGAGGTTAGGATGAAACGAAGAACTGAACCCTGGATGACCATTGAGATATTAGATAATAAATTCAGAGATCATTTGCTATAAAGATTTAAGACAAACAGACAGGATATTGCAGCGCTAAATGAATTCCAAAGGGTGAGGAACAGAGTGCAGAGGCTTATAAAAGGAACAAAGGCAAACACTATTGCTAAAAAATCGAATACAATAACCCCAGAAAGCTTTGGCGACAACTAAAACAGCTGGGGTATAACCATAAACTATTCGATAGATCTAATATAGTACTAAAAATCGATAATGAGGTATGCCTTGAAATAACTAAAATGGCATATAATTTTAATTCATACTACACATCTGTTGCATCAACACTGCCTGTTACATCGAATACCCTTAACACAGACTCCAATAAATCTAAAACATACTACACCAATAAAGGCGTCACCCCAAACAGTTGCCAACTAGTATGAGTATCTTATGACTTCGTGCGAAAAGAATTAAGTTAAACCCAACTAAGAGCACCGGTCCAAATAACATCCCTGCTAGGTTCTTACAAGATGGTGCCTCTGAATTGCCAATCTCCACTGCACACATAATAAATTTGTCCGTTACCACTAATACCATTCCGGAGGGGCTCAAGGAGGCCAGAGTTACTCCTATCTTCAAGAAAAATAGTTGGTCTGATGTCAGCAACTACAGGCCAGTAAGTATACTCAGTGTGATGTCCAAAATTCTAGAGAAGGCGGTGTATTGTCAAGTAGTTAATTATCTTCTTGATAACAACATTTTTGATAGTTATCAGTCAGATTTTAGGAGATATTACTCGACCGACATCTCCCTAATTAATCTGATTGACTACCTAAGAACTGAAATGTCGCTTGGGAATCTCATAGGTATGAACCTTAAACTTGCAAAGGGCCTTCGATACGGTCAACCACAATATATTATGTAGGAAACTACATGCTATCGGCCTAGGTTCTGTAAACTGGTTTAAGTTCTATCTGCGCAACAGGAAACAAACTGTCAAAATCAACACCACAGAATCAGAACCCCTGCCAGAAGCATGTGGGTTTTCCCAAGGTAATATTCTGGGTCCTATATTATGTGAATGACATGACCATCAGTGTCAAGTGTAAGCTTCTATTGTATGCAAATGACAGTGTTCTGTTAGTGCCGGGTAAAGACCCACAAGATATAGCTAATGTATTATCACTAGAGCTAGAGTCCTGAAGCAAATGGTTAGTAGACAACAAATTATTGTTACACCTCGGGATAAATGAAGCCATACTCTTTGTTACGAAACATAAACTGAAAAAGAGTAAATAATTTTAGTATCCGGTGTAATGGCGAACCCACCACTTCAGTTTCCTCAGTGAAATATCTGGGAATCCACTTTGACCCATGCATATCTGAAGAATTGATACAGAACAGTGTAGTAAAGAAAGCGAGTGCCAGACTGAAAGTTCTTCTACAGACAAGCACAATGTCTACTTACTAAGGCTCGCTGGACCGTATGTCTAGCTCTTGTACAATGTCATACATATTACTCTTGCTTTTAACAATAAAAAAAAACTGCCTTGACAAAAAAAAATTAAAAGATAGATTACAAATCACCCGGAACAAAATGGTAAGAGCGCATGCAGACCAAGATGAAGTACAAAACTGGATATGCTGAATGCTGAAGACAGAGGAAAAGAATTGAAGTTAAATCACGTTTATAAAATTGCTCACAAATAGTGTCCAGAATATCTTGCTGTCAAGTTTGTCAAGGTTGGGAACCAAAGTAATTATTGTACTAGGGGAAGAGAGCACAACTTTGTAGTACCCACAGTCAGTGACCAGGCTTCAAACACATTTTACTGTACAGCAATAAAGGAGTGAAACAAATTGCCTGCACATGTCAAAGCCAGTCATAGCATAAGCCAGTTCAAGAAGAGAGCCAAAAGGTACCTGATGAATACAGCGACAGAAAGTGAGGAGAATGATTTCTGGTATAACTAACGTACATGTACGTATTACTGTGATCTATCCTCTCTTTGATGTAAATGTAAATAACTCAGTTTACCTTCTTCTTAGTATATCTCTTTATAATGTTTGAATAATAAGACATATCAAGGACCTTCAATGGAAATAAGTCACTCTGTCTGACTTTCTTAGGTTATCCTAGGTAATCTGCATATATGCTGCTATGTAGGATAACTTATGCAGCTGTATTTATGTGTATATGTACCTGAATAAACTTACACCACTATAACCGCACCACCACCACTACCATCACCTACACCACTATAATCACCACCCCCATCACCAGTATGATCACCTACACCACTGTAATCGCAACCACCACCACCTACACCACTATAACCGCACCACCACTACTACCATCGCCTACACTATAATCACCACCACCACTACCATCACCTACACCACTATAATCGCCATTATCACCTGCATCACTATAATCACCACCATCACCACTACCATCACCTACACCACTATAACCGCACCACCACCACTACCACCACCTACACCACTATAATCGCCATTATCACCTGCATCACTATAATCACCACCACCACCACTACCATCACCTACACCACTATAATCGCTATCATCACCTGCATCACTATAATCACCACCACCACCACTACCATCACCTATATCACCGGGTCAAGAACCACCTTCACCGTCAACACCACCATCGTTAATTTTCTAAAATTAGATTTACCACATTCTAGTATATAAACAAAAGTGTTAAAACCACATGGAGACAGAAATATGGGTAAATTAAGTTGGTCTATAAATCTGTATCTTCCAAATCGATCTTTTTCAGCAGAAAAGAACATTGAATGGAGGTCTACATATGCAGAACTATCACATTTTTTCCCCGCTGTTCTGTTGCCATGCAGGTTGTTAGTATATGTTACTAAACCAGTAAATTGAATGGCAGTAGGCCTACCTGCAGGAGCGGGTGAAGTATATGTTGTCTAGCTCACACTGACCGCCTTTGTAACAGAAACTGGGGCTGCAGGGCACTGTGGAATAATAATAATAATAATAATAATAATAATAATAATAATAATAATAATAATAATAGTAATAATAAAATAATCGTTCATCCTCTAGGCTTGCTTATATCCCTTCAACAGGGGATGCCTTGACAAGGGTGAAGAGCTCTTGATCCAAAGAACATGAGCTACCCAACACCTCCTTTGGATTAAGCCTGATTAATTCAACTCTCCCATTCCCCAGAAGCTGTATGATCCTTATGGGTTTAGTGCTTCCCCTGAATGATTATTATATTATTGTTACTGTGTGATTACTACTAATTATTATTATTACTGATGGGGGAGTGAACGAAAATGATTTAGCCAACGAGCACTCTGATAATAACTTGTATAATGTGTGCATTCATATCTTGCACTGTGTAATCTTACCGAGTGAAGTGTTTAATGTTATCTTGCACTATGTAATCTTACCGAGTGGAGTGTTTAATGTTATCTTGCACTGTGTAGTTGTGGTTGGTACTGCAGGTGGTCCTGGTAACCTTCCATTCTTCTAACGGATGATAAACTCTTCTTTTTTTTCTTGTATCTGATATACTGTTTCTACCTATAATCATAATACATTTTTTACCTTTGTACTTACATCTGTGATATTCTTCTATTCCTCTGACAACTGGGACACACATCACCTTCTTACTTACGACTTTGGAAACTTACTTCACCATTGTACTTACGACTGAGATACACACTTCACATTTCTACTTACGACTGACATACACACTTCACATTTCTACTTACGACTGACATACACACTTCACATTTTTACTTACGACTGACATACACACTTCACATTTTTACTTACGACTGACATACACACTTCACATTTTTACTTACGACTAACATACACACTTCACATTTCTACTTACGACTGACATACTTCACATTTCTACTTACGACTGACATACACACTTCACATTTTTACTTACGATTGGGATACACATGTCATCTTTCTACTGACGACTGGGATAACTTTTCATTCATTGTTTTGTCAACTGATGTAAGGTAATGTATTAATTCAAATATTTAAATAAATGAGTCGAATGATTTATATGAGTTTAGCGCTCTTTTTTAAATATAATAATACTAATACTAATACTAATACAAATACTACTACTACTAATAATAATAATAGTAATAATAATAATAATAATAATAAACTGACGCTCAGGAGAGACTTAATATACAAAATCACCAAACACAAACTGAAGCCACAGACATTAGACTCTAAAAAACATTACTGGTAACATTTAGACCACTTACTAACACAGATTTCTCCCGGGTTGGTTTCATTGTTTGGCGACAAGTCGACGTAGCTCTGCTTGCAGCGACAACGGCCCTCAGACACATTGAGAGCAGTGTCCCACTCATCTATGCAGGAGGCATAGGTGTTGGTGCAATTTACGCCACTGTCGCACAGCTTGGACTCCAAATCTGTCACATTGCAAAATTGGTAAGATTTATATTGTCTGTTGACTCCATGTAAGTTATTATGTCTGCATATCACCTGTACACTTAATTATTAAGAACACTTTAATTCCTGAAAGAGGATTAAAATACTTATACATGAAGAAGCACTCCAGCCAGCGAGGAGTGCCTCTCGCTGGGGTAGTGGGCAACGCCGGTTTACCCCCTAATTAGTTATACACGAAACTATAGCGATTAAAAAAAAAAGGCCTTTTGCAGTGAAGTATTCTAACATTCGATAACACATTACGACCCAAATTGGACAACATTTCGTTGCGATAACGGCTGTCTTGCTACTGCACCAGGTAGTTACATACGACTCATACAGGTATCTCAGGTGTCCAGGGTCTCTATTACCCTTCCATATAAGTACATCACGTATTATTGAATGCGAATTCCTTTTACTTTGGGGCCACGTGTAAGAGGTCTAGCTGATTACCTCCACCTGAGGTAAACAGAGCAATCGTCTCAACACCAACTGCCCAGGTTTAAGAGAGGTAAGAATTAATTCAGATAGAAATAAGATGGCATGGTTTCTGGGCTGGATTTCACGAATGACTGGATATGGATCACTAACCTACCTACCTGGAGGGTATTCCGGGGATCAACGCCCCCGCACGTACTGGCCAGCACGCAGTCCAACGTACGAACCACAGCCCGTCTGATCCGGCACCGACTTAAGTATCTGTCCAGCTCCCTCGTGAAGGTAGCCAGGGGCCTATTGGTATTTCCCCTTCTGCTTGGTGGGACGCTGTTGAACAGTCTTGGGCCCCGAAAACTTATGATATTTTCTCTTAGTGTACCAATGACGCTCCTACTTTTCAGTGGGGGTATTTTGCATCGCCTGCCCAGTCTTTTACTTTCGTAGGGAGTGATTTCTTTGTGTAGATTCGGGACCATTCCTTGTAGGATTTTCCAAGTGTAGCTTATGATATATCTCTCTCGCCTGCGTTCCGGTGAGTACAAGTCAAGTGCTTCCAAGCATTCCCAGTAATGGAACTTATATGTGCAGCAAAGGTTCTCTGTACACTCTCTAGATCTGTAATTTCACCTGCTTTGAACGGAGATGTTAATGTACAGCAGTATTCAAACCTAGAGAGAAGTGATTTGAAAAGGATCATCACTGGCTTGGAATCTCTTGTTTTGAACGTTCTCATTATCCATCCTATCATTTTCTTTGCAGTTGTGATCGTGGCACTTTTGTGATTCTTGAAAGTGAGATCCTCAGACATTACTACTCCCAGGTTCCTCACATTATTTTTTCGCTCTACTGTATGATCAGAGTTTGTAGTATACTCTGTTCTAGTTATTATCTCCTCCAGTTTTCCATAACGGAGTAGTTGGAATTTGTCCTGACTGAACATTATATTGTTTTCCGTTGCCCATTGGAAAACTTAGTTTATATCTTCTTGGAGGTTAACCGTGTCCTCAATAGATGACAGTCTCATGCAGATCCTAGTGTCGTCTGCAAAGGATGATACGGTGCTGTGGATTACATCTCTGTCTATGTCTGATATGAGGTTGAGGAACAGGATGGGGCGAGTACTGCGCCTTGTGGAACAGAGCTTTTCACTATGGCATCTTCCGATTTAACTCTGTTGACCACTACTCTTTGTGTTCGATTGGTTAGAAAGTTGAAGATCCATCTCCCCACTTTGCCAGTTATTCCTTTAGCACTTATCTTGTGTGCTATTACGCCATGATCGCACCTGTCAAAGGCTTTTGCAAAGTCTGTGTATATTACATCTGCACCGTTTTTCTTCCAGTGCATCCAAGACCATATTATAGTGATCCAGTAGCTGTGAGAGGCAGGAGCGACCTGCTCTGAACACATGTTGCCCTGGATTGTGCAGTTTTTGGGAATCTAAGTAGTTTACAATCATGCTTCTTAGCACTCTTTCAAAGATTTTTATGATGTGGGACGTTAGAGCTATTGGCCTATAGTTCTTAGCTTTGCTGCCACTTTTATGGAGTGGGGCTATATCCGTTGTTTTAAGTGACTATGGAATTTCACCCATGTCTAAGATCCTTCTCCATAGTATACTTAGGGCACGTGAAAGTCGTTTCTTGCAGTTCTTAATGAACACAGAGTTTCACGAATCTGGGCAGAGGCTGAGTGCATGGGCATGTTGTCAATAGCTTTTCCAAAGTCTGTCGGAGTTAGGGTAATGTCGGAAATGTGGCATATATTGATGGAGTTTTGAGGCTCATTCATGAAGAAATTATTTAGATTGTCGATCTTCAGACTGACGAGTGGCTCACTAAACACAGAGTCGTACTAGGATTTCAATATCTCGCTCACCTCCTTGTTGTCATCTGTGTAAGTCCCGTCTTGTCTGAACAAGGGCCCGATACTAGTTGTGGTATTTGCCTCGTGTTTGACATATGAAAAAAAATATTTCGAATTTCTGTCAATTTCACTAATCGCTTTAAGCTCCTCCTGTCTCTCCTGGTTCCTGTAAGTCCTTTAACCTAAGTTCGATACTTTCCACTTCCCTGGTCAGCGCTTCCTTCCGTGTATCAGATAATCTAGCATTCTTGAGGAGCTCAGTGATTCTTCGTCGTCTTCTGTAGAGGGAGCCCCATTCTCTCTCCAGTTTACTCCTGCTCTTCTTCGTTCTTAGGGGAATATGCCTTGAACATACTTCAGTTGCCAGGAAATTGATCCTTTCAAGGCACTGGTTTAGATCCATGTTTCATTTAAGACATGGTTTACCTGGTCCCAGTTGATGTCCTTGTTGAAGTTGTATTTGGTGGAGACACCTTCACAGATACGTGCATTTTGCTGATCAGGACCCCTGTGCATGTAAGATTAGATGGTAATAGGAATTAGTTATTTTTTATATTGTTATGTCTCTTATCAGGTCCTCATTATTTGTGAAGATAAAGTCAAGTGTGTTTTCTAGTCTTGTTGGCTCCACTATCTGCTGACTCAGAGTGTGTTTATCGCAGATACCTCCAGGGATTGTTTCTGCTATAACATTATTCGCTACATTTTTCCATTTTGTATGCCTTAGGTTGAAATCACCAAGCAGTAAGATGTTTGGGGATTGAGCTGGAAGGCTTTCCAGACAGTAATAAATTTTCAGTAGCTGTTCCTTGACCTGTTGGGAGGTTGCACCTGGTGGCTTATATACAACCACGATGACTAGGTTTTGGTTCTCGATCTTTATTGTTAGAACTGCAACTACACAAGAGTTTAACCTTTCTAAGAGTTTGCATAGTTGGGAGGGGAAATTTTTAGATGACTCACCATCCACTACGACATCAACAACATCAAGGTCAAGTTTCTCTGCAATAGTGGTGTTGCTGAGGACAGCGATGATGGCTTCCTGCAGCTGGTCGTTGGAATCGCTATCATATTCATCTGTCTTCCTCAGCACCACCTCACCCGACACCATCAGCAGCTCAGGTGGACCTACTGCTCGCTGCACACTTTCAGATGACTGCGATCTGTGGGCGAACTAATCACTAAATTTCTCACTACATATTTGATACATAGGTCTGTTAGAAAAATATCAGTGCCATGAATATACACTTCATTAATTATTTTAGAATAATTTCCTAGTGAGAGTATCAATTTCGTCATGTCAGTCTGAAGCTCATGATTATACCAGAGTTCAAAATATAGCTACATATGGCTAATATGAGGACTAGAATTTTTGTTTTTTGCACCGTTAAAAGTTACACCGTATCTCAGGTCACTGCAAAGCCCAACTCTCTCTTGGTATAGTATCACCCGCCTGGAGACCTGGTATGGTGCACAGTTTAAGAAACGTACTGAGTAAACGCTTTACCTGAAGAAGTCACTCGTGGTGAAATGTTTCCTCGATAAACGTCTTCAACTGTGCATGTTGTTTTGTCCGCATACTACCACCCCCAGGATGCCACTCATAACCGTTGACTAACATCCAGGAACCTATTGATTTCTAGATGAACAGGGGAAACAGGTGTACGGAGACCTGCCTATACGCCGATATGTTATTTACGTTAAAGAATTTGTAGTGTCTTGTATTAATAAAAGAAATGGCAGCAGTACAGGTTGATTCTGATGTTTGACTTAGTTATCTGAACCTTGTCTCCCAAGCCTGACACTACTGTTAACTTTATAAGACTACCTTTCACATATACGATAAACATCATGAATAATTGTAATCTCTAAAATAAGGATAAATTTAAAATAAATACAATGAGAGAGACACACATCTCGGAGTAAATACATTTTTGATACTGTTAATTAAAACTGCTACGATTCTTAAAAGAACAGGCTGAGAGTGTAATTCAGTAGCTGGTAATCTGTCAGAACATAAATGTTAGTTCTCTCTACATTTTCCTCTCATTAAGACCAACTTGTTTGCTCCAGACATCTCGGAGAGTTCGTTAAACTCCTTCCACAGAACTTTTATTATAGTGTAATTATTACTGTTATAATCAAAAGGAAGCGCTAAACCTACTAGTCATACAGCGCTGCTATTATACTGTAAGATCCTTAGTGCATCATAAGTCTGGTTCCATCAGGTTGTGAATGTATAAATATTTCACAATAAACTTAATTTTCTTTCTGTGTAGGTGTTGTGCAGTCTGTCAGCACATTAATATGCTTGACGAATTTACAAGGCACGAACATGAAGACAGAAATGCGATTAGGCAATGTCTTTATAGACGCTTAGAGATTCAAATAATATCTGCAAATTCATTATTTTCTGTAAACTTTTGGAAGTTAACAAATGAATGATCGTTATGCAATGAAGTGTTATAAAGTACAATAATAACTGGCAGCTCCCTAACAGCTTAAGGTTTAGTGCTTCTCAACAACAACAACAACAACAACAATAATAATAATAATAATAATAATAATAATAATAATAATAATAATAATAATAATAATAATAATAATAATAAAAACGAAATTTACTTTGGGGGATTAGGCTGGTGTATGGGGTTTACAGCCTATTGACTAACGAGTCATTAAAGCTACATTCACCTCTTCACCAGTCAAAAATGGGATTAAAGTAAACTCTCAGTGTATACATACTAAGAGACATATACCTCTTCATATATATATATATATATATATATATATATATATATATATATATATATATATATATATATATATATATCCTCTGCCGGCTGGTTTAATGGGGTTTAAAGTATATCGACTAAAAGAGGGTCATTCAAGCTATATGTAACCTTTTCACCACCAGTCAATAGTACTTAAATTTAAGATATAACATACCGGATTACCTGAGAATCTTACCCAGGTAAACAGGCCGTCAAATAATCTCAAAGAGGACATTACAAAGTTACAGGATCACTTGGATAGGTTGATATTTTGGTTGGAGGAAGATGCAGTTCAATGCAGACAAATGAATGGTTCTAATACTAAGAAAATAACTATGGCACCTGTAAGCTAAATAATGAAAATCTTAGCCAAAGTGAACTCCAAAAAAAAAGAGTTAGGAGTTCCGGTTATCAGAAATTTAAAGTCTAAGTCAACAATGCACAAGTGTTTGCAATAAGGCCAACAGAATTCTTGGCTTCATATCAAGAAATATAAATAATATAAGTTCTGTGGAAAATTACATTTATCTGAATGTATCATTATGTACATAACAGTAAATGAACAAAGATAATTATTATTTATCAGTTAGACAAGTAGGATTTTGGGACACCTAGGTCGCAAAAAATGTCCCCCTTCGATACCTATCACTGTCATATCCACAAGTCGCTCTAGATCTATTAATTACAATAAATTTGTATCACCAGGAATTCTGGTAAATATATAAATTTGTGGACTGTATATTAAATTAATAAAGGATTATATATATACACATATACATAACAGAAGGAAAATATCTTAATATCACTCACCAATTTGACTGGAGATTAAGGTGTATCATACTCAGAAAACCTCACTGTCTATACATGAAATAACACTGGCCAGAGTTAAACATAACAGAATTATCTGAGGTTCCTGGAGCTGTCTTGTACAGTCGCCTTATATCTCAAGTTATGCAGGAATGCATATCCAACAATTTCGCCTCCTATTTGAGAGGTGTCAACTCAATTTTACCTCTAGAGCACGAAAATTCTTCACATTATTAACTAACGTCTGTTACTCAATTCAAAACAACAACTATAACATAATTTTTATTAAATACAGTATGGCCATCTATTTACATATAATTACTGTATTTCTGGAAAATATATACAGTATTTTCCAAAAGTTCTAAGGATATAATTCATCTTTATTCTTGGTTATGTCTCATTTAAATTATGCTGTCCATTTCTGATCTCTATATTACGGAGTGGACTTACGTACAAAGAAGGATGACGAAGTTGATTCCATGTATTAAAAAATAATTCCTACGAAGATAGGCAAATTTCAGACAAACTCCTAGGTGGCTACGTTGAGGCAAGAACCTTCGATAATTTTACATATAGGCTGGACATATATGAACGTGAGGTGAGTGTGAGTTAGACTTGCTTAGTTGTAATCTCTTAAAATTTGATATGCCATTTTTTGGTGTTGCACCAAAACGATCATGAAGACCTAACCTAATCTTGCTAAATTTAACGTAAAATCAAATAAATTTTGTGGCAAATGTTGAAAATAGTTTAAAAATGGGTACCTTTTAAATCTTGCCTTCCTCAAGCTGCTGGTGTAGTAGTAGTTGGTGGCTGGGGTTATGACTGCTTGTTGAACATGACGTCTCTTCCTCCTAGCTATTGGGAAAGTGGTGACTGCTGGTTCGACATGAAGTCTCTTGGCAGTGTTTAGTATATTGGGTGCGTGGAGCTGTGCGTTGCAGGCCTCAGGGTTCGTCGTAGGGTATACCACCATGTTTGTGTATTCCTGGAACTCGTTGAGCATGTCGCCTTCGGTGGCCGCCTCAAGGTACTGTCTCACAAACAGTGTTAGTGATCATTCTTAATTGTATTTAGCATACCATGAAGAGCTCAGCATACACTATATAACGATCCTTTGTTTTTGAATGGGATGGAAGCCTAGTTAGGGGTAGGATAACAGATGTTTAATTCATGAACGGGTATTATCTGATTTAAGGCCTGTGTCAGGAAAGACTTTTCCTGACGAACAAAACATCACCACTAGTGTTGGTACTTGGCTGTAGTTCAGTTTACTGGCAGACATGCTTTTGTAGCCGAACAAGAAGATTAGTAGAAACAAAATCTCGAAATATGTACCCAACGTATATGGTAAATATATATGAAAACAAACTTACAAAAGAAATTGTCTAGCAAATCTAACATAGCATTCTAACCTAACCTTTGTTAAAATTTATGTAACAAAATATAGCTCAAAAACAGCTAAATTCCGGTATCATTTTTCATCATTATATATTATTATTGTAGCATGCAGACTTTTTTTGCAAAATTATAACAAAAATACATACAAACCCCATATAAACGTTGCTTTATTGCCGTTTTACCTATTCGGCAAGACATATATACGATTTATGTATATATATATATATATATATATATATATATATATATATATATATATATATATATATATATATATATGTATATATATATGTATATATATATATATATATATATATATATATATATATATATATATTATATATATATATATATATATATATATATAAAGTTAAAGAATCTAACACAAAGTGGGAGTTGTCACAGTTGCTCTTTGCTGATGACACTGCGCTTTTGGGAGATTCTGTAGAGAAGTTGCAGAGGTTGGTGGATGAATTTGGTAGAGTATGTAAAAGAAGAAAATTAAAAGTGAATATAGGAAAGAGTAAAATGATGAGGATAACAAAAAGATTAGGTGACGAAAAACTGGATATCGGATTGGAGGGAGAGAGTATGGAGGAGGTGAATATATTCAGATATTTAGGAGTGGACCTGTCAGCAGATGGGTCTATGAAGGCTGAGGTTAATCATAGAATTGATGAGGGGAAAAGGGTGAGTGGTGCACTTAGGAGTCTGTGAAGACAAACAACTTTGTCCGTGGAAGCAACGAGGGGAATGTATGAGAGCATAGTTGTACCAACACACTTGTATGGGTGTGAAGCATGGGTGATGAATGTTGCAACGAGGAGGAGGCTGGAGGCAGTGGAGATGTCATGTCTGAGAGCAATGTGTGATGTGAATATAATGCAGAGAATTCGTAGTTTGGAAATTAGGAGAAGGTGTGGAATTACCAAAACTATTATACCGAGGGCTGAGGAGGGATTGTTGAGGTGATTCGGACATGTAGAGAGAATGGAACAAAACAGAATGACTTCGAGAGTGTATAAATCTGTAGTGGAGGGAAGACGGGGTAGGGGTCTCCCTAGGAAAGGTTGGAGGGAAGGTTTTGTGTGCAAGGGGCTTGGACTTCCAGCAAGCATGCATGAGCGTATTTGATAGGAGTGAATGGAGACAAATGGTTTTTAATACTTGACGTGCTGTTGTAGTGTGAGAAAAGTAACATTTATGAAGGGATTCAGGGAAACCGGCAGGCCGGACTTGAAGTCCTGGAGATGGGAAGTACAGTGTTTGCACTCTGAAGGAGGAGTGTTAACGTTGCAGTTTTATAACTGTAGTGTAAAGCACCACTCTGGCAAGACAATGATGAAGTGAATGATGATGAAAATTTTCCTTTTCGGGCCACCCTGCCTTGGTGGGAATCGGCCGATGTGCTATAAAAAATAAATAAATATAATATATATATATATATATATATATATATATATATATATATATATATATATATATACAAACACTGATCTCTGGCCGAAGGAGACTCGAACCTACGAACTTTGTAACAAGGTACGCAGTGCTTTACCATTCTCACCACACTGGACCAATACCTTGGCGTCCAGCTTGCGCTAGACGTTGATCCAAGGCAGCCAGCTTTCAGGGAGAAGGCTTACAGCTTTTCATCTCATCCCCTGCATGCATCAGTCTTACTAGAGATTTTTAACAATGCAAGGAATTCGCAAGAGCAGGCGAAATATACACAAACACTGATCTCTGGCTGAAGGAGACTCGAACCTAAGAACCTTGGAACAAGGTACGCAGTGCTTTACCAATCTACCCACATTGGACAATACCTTGGAGTCCAGCTTGCGCTAGACTTTGATCCAAGGCAGCCAGCTTTCAGGGAGAAGGCTTACAGCTTTTCATCTCCTGCATGCATCAGCTTTACTAGAGATTTTTAACAATGCAAGGAATTCGCAAGAGCAGGCGAAATATACACAAACACTGATCTCTTGCGAATTCCTTGCATTGTTAAAAATCTCTAGTAAGGCTGATGCATGCAGGGGATGAGATGAAAAGCTGTAAGCCTTCTCCCTGAAAGCTGGCTGCCTTGGATAAAAGTCTAGCGCAAGCTGGACTCCAAGGTATTGTCCATCATGTAAAACAATTACAGGCTTTCATTTTACATTCACTTGGCAGGACGATAGTACCTCCCTGGGCGGCTGCTGTCTACCAACCTACTACCTAGATATATATATATATATATATATATATATATATATATATATATATATATATATATATATATATATATATATATATATGCAAGGAATTCGCGAGAGCATGCGAAATATACACAAACACTGATCTCTGGCTGAAGGAACTCGAACCTACGAACCTTAGGACAAGGTACGCAGTGCTTTACCAATCTACCTACACTGGACCAATACCTTGGCGTGTAGCAGAGCTACACGCCAAGGTATTGGTCCAGTGTGGGTAGATTGGTAAAGCACTGCGTACCTTGTCCTAAGGTTCGTAGGTTCGAGTCTCCTTCAGCCAGAGATCAGTGTTTATATATATATATATGTATATATATATATATATATATATATATATATATATATATATATATATATATATATATATATATATATATATATATAAAACCCAAGTCATCCTTGATAATCTTGGTAAGCCCACGTAAAAAAATAATTTTATCTCGTTCCCATATCAAGTATGCTTGTTTTAGGCAAGCACTGTTGCTACTTGACTTGCGATCCATTTGCTGTGCTAACTTATTTTCCACTCCACTGACGCAACAGAGGAACAGTATCTACAAATGTATTCAACGTGGCCATAAAATACAGCTAAATATGCAATCAATGCAGGTATGGCCATAATTGTAATCAATGAGCCATAAATTTTATTAATGTGGGCACAGTTGTAAATATAAAAACATAATTAACATGAGTATAAATAAATGTAACAGCTTATGACATCATTTCTTGAGATTTTCGATCAGGTGTTCAGCCATCCTTCATTATCGTGTGATATTATCTACGTTACACGCACACACTGTAGTAAAAAGTTTGTGATACTGCCCAAAATTGAAAAAAAATGGATCAGCGTCACAACCATTATCAGATAACATTTTTGAGTTTATTACCATTGTAACTTATTCAGCTATCAAAACTTTGCGGTCCAGTCCCTGGACCCATTATGTACCTCTGTAATCTTTTGACGACCGCCTACAGGATGGGTATGGGGTGCATAATAAACATATTAAACTAAAACTAACATTCTCGAGGTCTTAAAACTTTCAAAACGCATGGTCGACAGCCCCGAGTGGCGCGGATATAAAGACGTAATGCAGTATAAGCTCTCCTGTATATCAGGCAACATTTCGCTCAGGATTGAGCTTTATAAAGTCTAATTTTGTAAGGTTTGTTCCTGAGTGAAACGTTTGAGTTAGATAACTAAATTAGAGTTTGGGGGATGCAGATTATTACAAGTATTGTTTAAGAAGTGAATATAATATTTTACGATTGAGTGACTTTTAAACTGCAAGCTCAAAAATGAACTCAGACGATAAAGATTATGCATCAACCTATTGTGCATGCTTTCAAGGTAGCTTGTGTTTATTCTGTAGGATGGTAACAAAACTACATAACATAATCCATGTGTGGTCCCACACGAGGAAGATCAAGTTAAAGGATAACATGGAACTCCTATTGCTGTTCTGACATATTCCCAAGTATATATATATATATATATATATATAATATATATATATATATATATATATATATATATATATATATATATATATATATAATATATATATATATATATATATATATATATATTCTGGTAACGAACAGGAGATATGCAGCCTTGATGATCCACGTGTGTCGACTGGCTTGAAGCCTAATTAACCAATCAACTTGTCTTTCACATTTATATAAATCTGAAGAGTATATGTATCTTCATGTGTATGCACTGAGAACAACAGTGCATGTAAACGGGGAGGGGGGTATATATAGTTTAGTATATATACACTTTGGGTATTCTTGATCGGTGGTCGGTGAACGGGTAACTTGTATCCTTAATTACTTGTCTTTGAAGGTTTTAAGTTTAATTAACCAACCAGCCAATTCCCCCCCCCCTTTTTTTTTTGTTCATCAGAAAACAGGAGTGTCCCCTGATGCTGTTCTTTGGCATTCGATGACTCGTACAGTAATTAGGTAACCACTATCTTACCGGACGCAGGTTTTCATTTTTTTTTTTTAAATATTTACTACTTAGTGGTGACGCTTAAGATAAAACTTAATTTTCACTTGGTTATTTGTGTTTCAAGGATCCTGACTACACGATGGTCATTAAAGTTGTATGTAACCTGTTCACCAACAGTCAAGAGGGCTTTATCCTTTACATATGGTTTAAAGTAAACTCTGAGCAAATATACATTATATGCGCACCTCATGGTATTTTCACTTCATTGCCTCAAGAACCCCATTGATCTTACTACATATTATAAAACAGTTATTTTGGTTCTAGATCTGCTGTTCATCACTCAAATTTTATTCACAATAGTATTTTTAAACATCCACATTATCGACTTAATACATAGTGCCGTTATTAGTTATTTTGGGTGTTCCGTAG